ACGGTGACCAGACTGGTTCTGAAAAAAGTGACCTTACTAGTGCTGAAAAAGATGACCAGACTGGTAATGAAAATGGTGACCATACTGGTGCTGAACAAGGTGACCAGACTGGTGCTGAACAAGGTGACCAGACTGGTACTGAAAATGGTGATCAGACAGGTGATGAAAATGGTGACCATACTGGTGCTGAAAAAGGTGACCAGACTGGTGCTGAAAAAGGTGACCAGACTGGTGATGAACAAGGTGACCAGACTGGTACTGAAAAAGGTGATCAGACAGGTGCTGAAAATGGTGACCAGACTGGTGCTGAACAAGGTAACTAGACTGGTGATGAAAAAGAAGGTCAGACTGTATCTGGAATGAAGGATGAGACCAGTACTGAACAAGGTGACCAGACTGGTGCTGAAAAAAGTGATACGACTTGTACTGAAAAAGATGACCAGACTGGTGATAAACAAGATGACCAGACTGTACCTAGAAAAGTTACTCAGATTGGTTTTAGGAAAGATGGCATCCAGACTGGGGCTGACAAATATTTTGTTGACTGTTGTTGACCATAGTTAAGTAAGACGTGATGTAAAAAGGGAGTTGTCTGGTGACTGATGTTGATTCTACTTATATTAGTGAAGCAGGCCTTGTAACTTAAAACCAGTATCACTTTGCTTTCAACTCAGGTTAATAGTTTTCTCCAAGATATTCTTAAAGAGAGAGGATCACCAATTCAAAGATGGTTATTTTTAATATTCTAATATTGTGTGCCTTACCTGTAAATGCAATCTACTTAAACTTAATATTTATAAGTGTGCAATAGACGTATCCTTCAGGATATTGGAGAAGTTTTTTTTGTTCAGCTTTTGTAAAGTAGTATAGATTTTCTTTAAATTATTTTGTACTTGCTTAGAGTGTCAACTACTGTATGTTGGAAATGTAATTTGTGTCTTGCATTGTAATAGTTGAAGGAGATGTTGAAGATTGAGAAAACTTATATTTTAGATTTTCTATGAAGCCACTGAAAAACATAAAGAAGTTTCAAATGTTGGATCTGGATGTTGGTAAATGCCTGAATTTACCGAATATCAACTTAATGACATTTTGATAATTGAGGATTGATAAAATGAGGTTGCCCTTTAAGGTGAACCTCACTTATTTTTAGCTTTTTCCATTTAGGTGCGTATAGGAATATCAGCATTTTTGTAAAAGAAAAAAATGCAATTAAAGATGGAATGACATCAACTGCAATGATACATGTAGTTGTAAGCGACTAGATTTGTTTAGATATTCGAATAGTCTCCAATATCAATTAAAGGGCAGTTGTAATCGTGCTGCGCATGTGCTACATTTTTGTTGATAAACATTGATTTTCCCACAATCCAATGCTCTCTTCTTATGGGAATCACAAGTATGAGGTTTTATCTGGGTGCAACATGCACTAATTACAGTCGGTGATAGCTTCCAATCACCTAAAAAAATACCTAATTAAAGCTTGGTAATGTCTCAGTTTGTACTCGTTGATCTGCAAGTAGCATATCTTTGCTTATGAGATCCATATATCTCGCGCATACGTTGCACAACTATTGCCCCTTAATTGCCAGTCCTTGTAACTTTATGAATTTAAATTTTAACATTCAAGATGTTTTACTCACTATTTTGAGACAATAGCCAAAATAAATATTGTCATACATGTATAAAAAGCTGTCCATTAACATACCGTCTATAACATTTTTGTGATTTTAGAAAAATCGTATCCGTATTTTTGCTGACATGTTACGTAACGTTCATTGTCATTACAACATCCTGCTACAGCAACAACATTCTGAATTGCGAGTTCACATTTTTTTTTTGATATTGGGAAGTTTTATCAGGTACAACACAGCCTTCAGATGATGTACAACATTGCGGGAATAAAACATGAAATCTTTGGTGGTACTTACAAAATAAAATTAATGATGTGAAAGGACATTCATACAATCAATGCATGCTTTAATACCATGACAATATTCAGACCAATTATTGAGTAAATTTCACTTTACTAGGAAAAAAACAGTGAACACTAGGTTATTGTTGATTAAAAATGTTAATAATCAATGTGATCAATGTGAATAAAATCACAATTAATACATTAAAATGTTGGTATTTTAATTTGTGTAAGAAAACCTGAGTTGACATGTGTCCATCACAGCTTCCTAAATTGTTATATACACACAAGATATAACCAGTAAAAAGAATTATACTGTAGCATTATACAAGCCTTTCCGATTACCCAGAGATTAGATTTTCGCTATTTGGATGTCATTTTGTAATTCCTCCATCCATAACATGCATATGGTGGGTAACATCCACTGAGTTGTTCCAATTTGGCTCTGAGAATAGCGGGCAAACACTTCAACAATGAATTTGCATATCAGACTTTATTTGATACATGTCAATAATATATAGCAAAGTTTTGCATGAACAAATTACACAATTATTACACACAGTTGATGTACATGTTGCATGGGACCCACACACAATTTATGTACATGTTACATGGGACTCGCATACATGATTGATGTACATGTTGCATGGGACCCACACACACATGATTGATGTATATGTTGCATGGGACCCACACACACATAATTGATGTACATATATGTTGCATGGGACCCACATACATGATTGATGTATATGTAGCATGGGACCCACACACATGATTGATGTATATGTTGCATGGGACCCACACACACAACTGTTGCATTGAATTCATGCCATATACTCACTATCTGGATACTACTATATTCTTATACCGGTAATTAAGTATTGTGAAATTTAACTCGTAATGTGCTGCCATACCATTTTATTACTATGCTAATTATCTAATTAAAATACAATTGTACACAGATTTGCATCCAGATATGATCTGTGTCTAACTGCATAAATTACCAATACACAAAATATCAGTCTTAAAAATATAATATGAGGTTATTACATGTATAAGAATACCTCAAAGTATGCACGAAGACAGTACAGCTGGAGTATCGACCGACACGCAGTGCAGCACCAAGGATACATCATGCAAATGCCAAAATCTACTATGATATGTACTACTGATAACATTTAAAAACTGAATATTGTAACGTGGCAGTGTTTATTACTCTCATTGTAAAATATGGCAAATATAAAGGAGATCATCTTGTCATAACTGAAATTCCATAAATTTGTCCATTTTATACCAGTTGTTATCCATGAGTCATTGCATTGTTTTTTTAAATATAGAGAAATGCTCATAATGAAACACAACACAAATAGTTGCATATTAGATTAATTTCATTAAGAAAAAGGTATGAAAAATTATTATGCATGTATAAAAGAAATTCTATTCAGTCTTAAAAATGCTAATTTCACTTGGTTGCAATTTCAGATAATGAATACCGGTAGAAATCTTCATGCTTCTGAACTAAAGTCTTCGTTGAAAACTAAAATTTTGTGTTTAATATATAATAGTATCGTGATGAACTTCAACAGAGAATTACAGTGGCAGCACCAACACCGTAGCGTCTTGATTGCATGGGACATATCTTTGACCATCTATCGGTAGCTGGGTCATACTTCTCAACAGTATTGGTACACTGAAACCCATCAAAGCCGCCTATTATGTAGATACAACCATTCAACACAGTGGCACTTGCACTGCTACGTTTTGTTTTCATAGATTTCACGTATATCCACTGATTAGTATAAGGATTATACCGCTCCACCGTGTTTATCCAACTACCGTTGAAACCACCAATGGCATATATGTATCCATCCAACTGTACAACAGACAGGTACGCCCTTCGCTCGTGCATCTCAGCCACGTTAGTCCACATTTTAATATTTGGATCATATCTTTCTACAGAGGATAGAAAATCACAGTCTTTTCCGTTATTGCCTCCTGTAAACAAACAAAAAATAAATTAAGCACATTTTTTCGAATATGCCTCAATGAGAAGATGTATTCTTTGCCCTTTGAAGTGCTAAATTATAAAGTAGTGAGTAATATGAAACATGACATGGCTTATACTTATGCTAATAATATGCAAATGAATTGACGTTCAAACAACAATAACTTTCCAGCTGTCTAGAAACTGTTTAGGAAGTGCATATCATATACATCCCAACCCCACACGTATTTATATAGTATCACTAAAGATCATTTTGACTCAGTATTAAGGTTGATCAGTTAAAATCATGGGGGTTGGTCAAGTAAGACAAAAGGAGAAAAAAACATTGCAAGCAATTGCAGGAAAAATTTGTTTGGTATATTCAAGAAAAACAAGCCATGCATGGCACAGTTCCCCAGTAGTTATCAAATTTAAGATATATAGTTTTGTTTATAGTAATATAGCTGGAATATAACCATGTCAGAAATATGATTTTTTAACATTAAAATGATTGACATTTGTATCTGATCGTCAAACAAGTACTTGTCCATATTGAGAGATATTGCACTGGAACAGCATTCAAAATCAACCATTTTGAATACATGTATATATATAACATGATTTATAACGAATATATATAATTTGAACATAATCAGTCAAAGCATTTAAGAGACATGGCTCTAGAAGCCCAATCATTAAAACAAAATGGCCGCCAGTCAGCCATTTTGAATCCAATCTGACAAATAAAATGACGTGCATCAGGAACCAGTAATGTCTAATGTACCAAGTTT